TATTAGAAGATTTATTCATTAGTGTGCAGATATTGTAATTTATAGTATAATCATAGGTACAAGGTATATTTCTGACATTATGAGCCATTAAAGCCTAGATTCCTCCTCTCTCTTGTATGTAAATCGCCTTCCTCAGGCAAATTTCATAGTGATTAGTAAGGCAATTTGGCAAAGTTGTTTGTTAAAAAAGTCTAGACAGTTATCGAAATAGGAAGCTGCAAAGGACTAGTTAGAAAGCATTAAACAACAAATATTGGGATGGTCTAAATACAGAAAATGTCAATGACAACTTGAACAGATATATTAAAAAGTATGCTAATATAGACACATAATTTTAGATAATTTGATTGATTTATTTTAAATAAACTAGATCTAATCAATAAAAAATACTGTTGGCAAAAACAATTAATAAAAAATACTGCTTAAAATTGCATTTGAGATTTCCAACACAAACTGTTTTAGTTAATATTTCATTTCCATGCAGGGCCTCGAATAAATGCTAGATTCCCAAAAAATGGAGGTTTCCCCATCATGGTCAGAAGATTTATCGCATCATTATCTTTGGCGGGGTACTTGTTATGAAAACCAACCATATATTTCATAACAGTAAGAAGAAATCATAAAAGCATCAGGAGACATGCAAATTTCTTTTCTTGTTATCAGAGAAATCAGAGGCCCGGTTCAAATGAAAAGTTTGGCACAGTTTTCAAACTCGGTATTGGCCCATCAATGGATCAGAGGAACTCCAATTAAGTAAAGAACAGGCCGACAGTGAAAATGATCAATGGAAATTTAACAGGTACAAAACAATCCTCATTCATACGGTGAAAACTTCAAAATTTCAGGGAGACGAGGAGCAGCTGCCCTTACTTAAATCTTAGCTTTGGTGACAAAATTTCTACTCATGAGTATTATTAGAGCAATGATTCAGACCCTTCAGTATATCCATAGCACCACATGTAAGCAAGTGATTATATCGATTGAGAGAGAAGTCACTAATCTTTAATGCCATGCACATAGACTTCCGGGCAAAATACTTACACGAATTTAAGATGCTTTGCATTGACAGTTGTTGCAATTTCCCCAACTAACTTATTAAAACTGAGATCCCTGCAAGAGTTGAAATGATAAATTAAAGTTCCAATAATGGAAAAAATTCAGAATTAATGGTATGTGAATATTTTACTAATTTTCTTCTATCGAGAATCGGCATTAATGCATGCAGTATTTGGTGTGGCATTCTGGAACCAAATAATAGAAGTCTAAAAAATGACAGAAACAGAAAAAAAATTCTTTTACTAGATTAAGATTTGCATGATTCTGCTTCCTTTGTCTTACAAGAAATAAGATGCTAAATAATATCTTTTGACAGTTGCCTTTGTTCTCTTTTCACATTCCTTATTTCTCTCCTGTATCTTATTTTTTCTAATTTTTTTGAAAAATATAACCTATTTATTTATGCATTCATGTGCCCCTCCCTTTATACATTACAATTAACTTGAAAATATAAAGTACTCCATATGACAGTCTGACAGTCTGACAGTCTTGAAATCACTAGTCACTACATTTAGCCCAACCAAATTCCATATTTCTGTTTCAACTCTGATGATATGCCTAGTAAAATCATGGAATCAAATTGATTGCTTGATTAAATTTTCAACACAAACATAGGATGAAAGGAATGGTGTTTTTGCATTAGTATTTGTTCCATTGACCAGAACTTTGAAACCTTAAGTACATAAGATTCAGACGCTTTACTCACAGCATTTCCAAGTCCTGCATCGTCCAGATGTAGGCAGGCAGCTCCCCAGTAATATTGCAATTTCTTAAAACCCTAAATTAAAAACCTGAATCACTTTAAATTGAACATTGTTAAAAGCAAAAAATCTATGATCTCAAAAGCTTTGCCCAAAACATACAATTTTATCAGTGCTGTCGTGTTGCTTAGGGAAGGAAACTCCTGACTTGGACCACCTATATCACTAATTCTCCTGTGCAAATTAAAATGTGCCATCATGAGCAAATTAGCAATATAATGAACTAGAAATAAAGAAAAACGTTGGGGGGGGGGGGGGACAAAACAAAAGGAGGCTCTTTACTCACAGTTGAAGTAAATTACTTAGAAGAGATATGGTTGATGGGATAGGTCCTTCCAGTCCACTTCCGTGCATTTCTCTTGAATGAGGTAAAATGGGATAAGAAAATAAAGGAGGAAATAAGCCTAGTGCTGGATTATCTATTTGTCAAGAATTAAACCACACAAAAATAATCAAGGAAAAAGAAATTCAAACTCACAGTCGTTGAAGTAGTTTCCAATTCTGGATGAAATTAGGAATTGTTCCTCTGAAATTGTTATCATTTATCCTACTGCAATGCACCACAATATTATATTCATCAGAAAACTATCATTATTTATTTCCTAAGAAACACACTGAAAACAATAAACAAGAGCATACAAATCTGTCAAGTTCTTTAATTGAGCAAATGTTACTGGTAAATGTCCTGAAAGTTTATTGGATGACAGAATCCTGAAGCAAGTTGCCAATATAATCCATCAGAATAGAGTGTTTAATCTTCGAATGTATTCCAACAATAAAACATGAGAATTCCAGAAAAAAGAAGTCAAAAGTGATGCCTTACAATGTCTGCAGGTTAACAAGATTTCCAAGCTCAGAGGGAACAAGACCGGAAAATTGGTTTGATTCAAGGCACCTGATGAGAAATGCGAGAGCAATTACAAAGTATAAAATTCAGAAATTCATGATAATAAAGTAGGATAAACACATTAATGCATTGCAGTTTTCTTCGTTATCTAGCTAGCTGAAAGGGGAAATAATGCACATGACTCTGAGACCTAGACAATTAAAGCTTTCAGTTATAAGAACAAAATAATGGTACAGTCAGAAAGTTTCATAAACTGAACTTTGATCAACATGAGTTAAGAAAATAAATAAATGAGAAAATCTCAAGCTCAGTAACGCACAGGTATGTTAGAGACGTCATCTTTCCCAGCTCCTTAGGAATCTCCCCAGATAAACGATTCACAAGAAGAGAGCTGCATGATATGTCACAGACATGAAGTTCGGTTAAAAGAAAAGAAAAGCAACTGAGTAAAATTTACAACAGTAGATAAGAACCTACATTGAAGATAAATTCATTGAAGTCCATTCCTTAGGGATTGTACCATTTAGGTAATTGAGAGCAAAATCACTACAATGACAGAAAAATACATGTCTCAAAAAAGGGGCTATAATAAAGTATTGACACTACCAGATATCCAGCCATTCAAATCAAAGCTAAAATAATTCTTAGTGGAAAAAGTATAGGAAGTAAATTTGAATAGTAAGCAAGCAGTTAAGCATTTTTCACGGAGCTCATACACTTCTTTAAGGTAAGGAAGCTTGACCAATTGAGGTGGAAGCACACCAGGAAGGCTGTACCCCTTGAGCGAACTAAAATATGAAAAATCAAACAAAAAATATTATCACCAGACAAATCTTCAAAATTCAAGGTCCATAATATTGCCACAAAAATCAATACGGTAATTAATTATTTAAATGCTCAATCAGAAACGCATAAAACAATGAATCAAGTACTTAGAAGTTAGAAAAGCTGAGGACAAGATAAAGGAACTTTACATGCTCACAACATGACAGTTAGTGCCATTTTCCGAAAAACATTTACAACCAATGCTGCTCTGTGATCCACTGGGTGACACTGGTGTCAACCCCACCATTTCAATTTGACAAGAGTTTCCATCAAACTTCCAGTAGGTTGCACCCATTGTACTAATAATTTCTTGAAGAGCATCAACTGGATGACATTTAAGGTGGTATAAGCATGACATAAAGTTCTATGGCACGAGAAAATAAAACAATTACAGGTAACGTGAGGATTAAATCAAAATTGACATACCCAAATTATGAAATCAGCCTCAGGCATTAGATTTACAGCTAATATTACCAGATAGAGCTATATTTTCACATATTCAATATCAGTCCCACTTCACATATACAATAAATTCGAAAGACTCACCAGTTTCAACATTGGCACATTAATACAGATCAAGCTTAATGTATTTAAGATACATAAACATGAAGTAGTCAAACAAAGTAAATTAATAGAAAAATAGGAACCAAGTCTGCAATTTTACTGCACATTGAAAAGTTTAGAGTCACATTTCTAGGCTGGTAAACAATTTTGAATTAAGGAAGAAGTATGTTGCAACAAAAAATGAGGTGATATAACATAGTAAGCTTTCAACCTAACCCTGAAGGTAAAGAGAAGACCAGAATATCACTACCCAGATGATGACCTACAAGATACCGTAACTCTCAAAGACGATGCTTCAGCCCAAAAATTTACGCGACACACAGAACAATGCAAGCAAAATCTAAAATATAAAAAAATCGGTAAGTCATTTATTAATATAATTTAAACAGAACAAACAACTCTCAATATTATGCAAAACCCAGACTAATAACTCTGGAGAGCAATCAGCTTCAGAACCAAGATTTTAAGGTATGCCTAAATATGAGATTACGAGCAAGTATTTACAATACAAGAACAAGATCAAACTTTTAAGGGTAACATAAAGCTTAGTAAGATGTTGGAGACAAAGGCAGAAAGGAACCAAAGTGAAATCTCAGCTCAATATACCAAATAGCGAGTCCCAACATTCAACATTAACCAGATGGAACCGAAACTACAACGTTTCAAAATTTTCCTCTTCTACCACACTTTCTCAACAACTAAGGCTTACCTTCTTCATGGGGCAGCTTTGATTCTGCATATCTAAGCCATCTGAAAGAACTCAACGCAATAATTAGGAAAGCAAAGAAGTTCCTTGCCAGCATGCTGAAATACTCAGCCTACAGAATATTGCTTCGTGCAGTTACAAGCAGCAAACACCATATATGAAAGGCTAGTTGTTTTCTGCAAAGTTGGTATCTTTTGGATTATGAGCTAAGAGAATGTGAAAACCCAGATGGGAAAGATAATAGACATGCACGTATTGATTTTTAATTTATCGATGCCAATCGAAGAAAGTGAAATTTCGAGTCTTGACCATGGAAACGTCAAATTGAGTACGCAGTAGAGAGAATGTAAAGCAAAGCTGGCTTGCAAATACCACTACTGTTATTTATTATATCATTTCTATACTATATAAATGATGGTGTAACAGGATTCAATGGGAATCTGAATTTGAAGATTTTATTACAAGTAGAATTTTCGAAGTGCTAAAAATTCAATGAAAAACTCAAAACAGTGTGACATTTGCTGACAAAGCCCATAGCGAAGCTAAATGGAGTTTTCCATTGCATTTGGCGCAATCTGTATCTGTGTGGCTTCAGGGTTGTGGCGTGGGCCCCTTGTTCTTTGACTATTTTTCGGCCACCTTCTTTGACGTATGCAATCCGAATTCTCCAGCATTTAAGAAACCTTCATGAAGGTATAGAATGAGAAATATAATTGATACTAATGAGACTCAACGTGTAAATTTAATATTCAGATTTTGTTTGGTAAAAACTGGGTTAAGCAAAGAAAATCATTTTTACGACGCAAATATTTATTTTCATCTCACTATTAAAATTAATCAAATAAAAAGTACTATTAAAAAATGTATATTTAATCTTTTAATGTTACATAAAATTTCATTTTCAACCTTTAATTGTTAGTTATGTTTGTAATCGTGACTCTGGTAAATATCTTCTATCCGGGTGGGGACATCCTTTTGTACTTGTTCATGGTGAGCGATATACTACCTCCGGTCTTTAATATAATATCTTATTTGACTTTTATTTTTGTCTTAAATATAAGATTTCAATCCACTTCGTTTCTCATGTTTATTCATTTTTTTCAAGATAGTCTTTATAATAATGGTAGTTCTAACCAATAAACTTGATTGACAGGGATATTTTAGGAAGGACAATACTTATTTATTACAAAGAACTAACTTAACTTATTTCCCTAATCTACTCAAATCAGTCAACTAGCTTTTATATTTAGGACCAGAGGTAGTATAGTTTACTCAAAATAAAAATTTACTGTCATAATTTGTTTCTAAAATTTATAATATTTTTTTAAAATATTCATATTGATTGACAAGAATTTTCATCAAAAGTATATGATTAAATATAATAATTTAAAAAAGATTAATATATATTTGTTATAGATAATTAACTTAACTAATTTCTTTAATTTCTCTAAATTAGTTATCTAACTTTTATATTAAAGACTAAAAGTAGTAGAATGAACCAAAAATTAAAAATAATTTTATGGAGTTAAAACATGTATTACGATTATGAATTGAACATACCAAATATAGTTATCTTCTGATAATTTAAACAAACCTCCTATTTTCCTTTGTCTAAAATGCAATAACAAAATTTTAAAACACAAATTAATTTTGATTATAATTTTAATATATAGGTCAAATCGATTCGTTAGGCCGATTTCGTGAAGGCTTTCGAGTTGCCGTAAGAGCATGGGTCATTCAAACGTAAAAAGCTTTTCATCTGTGTTTTGATTGAATTACTTTTTATTATATGTGTAATACTCGAATGGTGTGCTCAATTATCCAAAAAAGAAAAACAATATCTCCAGCTTGGCCAATGGGTTTGTAATTTAGTGATATGAATATTCTCGAATTAAATCGGAAGCCGTAGTTTTGATCTCGTCAGCAACTTTATGTAATTAGTTTTTTTTTTTTGTGGAAATTTTATGTCATTATTGTCACCTCTTTAATTTGACAAAAATATCTCCAGCAACAATAATTAATTTGATACATCAATCCATTTTATCGGCCAAATTTATAATTTTATATCTAATTTATTCATATTAATAACGTCAATCCATTTTATAAATAATTAACTTAATTAATGTTTTAAACTATGCAAATTAATTTATTCCCTTCAGTCTTTATTATAAGGACTTTTTAATATGTTTCATATTGTCCAGAATATTATTTTCCCCCTTAAAATAATGCATATAATTTTCCCTGTTTATATAAGGTTAATAAGTTGATCTGTACAAAATTAAATGCCAAAACTCACACACTAAAAATAATAAAATTATTTAAGAAATAGATAATTACCAATCAGTCAACATGTCTTACCCACGGGGTTGTTGATTTGACTATGATCAGTATTAATGTTGAAAATTCTAGCGGTTGTCCCAATTAATTGACAAATTGAAGACAAGTTTAACTAAATAACTGGCTTTAGATTAGGAAGCTGTCAACAATTTGATGTTTTGCGAATTCATGTAAACAATTTGAATCAAATCCTTGCATGGATATTTTTAAATAATATTTTCAATGGAGCAAAGTAATAATTGTAATATAAATTGGGACATCAAATTGTAATATCGATATTTATTATAAGTAGGAAGACGATTTTGCATTGTATTATAACCTAACTAATTAAGCTTTATTGTTTAAATACTTTTTGCTGTAAGATTTGACTACTGAGCACAACAATCAATTTGTACAAGGAAGATGGAAGCCGACAGAGATTGTATATAATAATTTATTAATAAACTCACTTATCTTTTTTAATTTTCACATTCAACTTGAACATTATTTTGATTATGTGCACAAAATTCATTCTTTGATTTCTTTTATTATTTTTTTTATCTATCTCTCATTTTGCCAATAGTTTATAAACAAAATTTCAAGGCCACTATCTTTTTTTTGGGGGCGGGGAAGAAAGTAATTGTAAAAGTGAGAAAGGATTTTGCACATGTTACATATATTTTCTTTTGAGAAAAAGACAGAAAAATACTATCTTAACTTTATAATGACCAGAACATCTGCTAAATTTGCAAAATGTCATTTTGGTCACATGAGACCAAATTGGCATTATTATATCAAATGAAAAGACCAAATTGACCTTCCTTTTAAATATTGTTTTTAAAGTATTACAGCCCCACTGGCCGACTGGTCGCTGGAGCTCCGGCAACGGCAGTCACCGAAGCTTCGTCGGTTGGAAATTTTTTTTTTGAAAATTTGTAAAACTTTAGTATAACAGTTAACAACTTTTGTGACGTTATTAACAATTTCAGTATAACAGTTAACAACAGGTTTTCTGAAAAATTCAACAAGTTCCGGTTGACAAAAATAAATTTTTTAGAAATTCTTACAATTTCAGTATAACAATTAACAACTTTTGTAACGCTATTAATAACTTCAGTATAGTGGTTAACAAAAGGTTTTTCGAAAAATTCAATAATTGGACGCCAGAACTCCGGCGATCAGAAACAATTTTCTTGAAAATTTTTACAACTTCAGTATAACAATTAACAACTTTTGTAACGCTATTAACAACTTCAGTATAGCAGTTAATAACAGGTTTTCTGAGAAATTCAACAAGCTCCAGTGTTTGGAAATAATTTTTTTGAAAATTTGTACAATTTCAGTATAACGATTAACAACTTTTGTAACGTTATTAACAACTTCAGTATAGCAATTAACAACAGGTTTTTTGAGAAATTCAACAATTAGTCGCCGGAGCTCCAGCATTTTTTAAAATTTTTTTACAATTTCAGTATAACAGTTAACAACTTTTGTAATGCTATTAACAACTTTAGTATAGCGATTAACAACAGATTTTTGGAGAAATTCAACAATTGGTCGCCGGAGCTTTAACAGCCAGAAACAATTTTTTTGAAAATTTTTACAACTTCAATATAATGATTAACAACTTTTTTAACGCTATTAACAACTTCAGTATATAGCGGTTAATAACAAATTTTTAGGAAAATTCAACAATTAGTGGCCAAAGCTCCGGCGACTGGAAACAATTTTTTTTTAAAATTTTTATAATTTCAATATAACAGTTAACAATTTTTATAATGTTATTAACAATTTCAGTATAGCAGTTAACTATAAGTTTTTCAAAAAATTCAAAAAGTAACATTTTTATAACTTCAATAATGTCGTTAACAAGTTCTGTAATTTTATCTACAACTTTAGTATAGCATTTAACAACAGTTTTATTAAAAATTCGAAAAAATGGCATTTTTATAACTTTAACAACTACTTTTTAAAAAAAAAAATTTTACAATTTTAGTATAATGGTTAACAACTTTTGTTTATCTATTAACAACTTTGATATAACAGTCAATAACAAGTTTTTGAGTTTGTTAATAGCATTATTGAAGTTGTAAATATGTTATTTTTTGAATATTCTGAAAAACATGTTGTTAACCACTATACTAAAGTTGTTAATAACGTTACAAAATTTGTTACTGAAGTTGTAAAAATTTTCAAAAAAATTATTTCCAGACAATAGAGCTTGTTGAATTTTCTAAAAAACTTGTTGTTAACTGCTATACTAAAGTTGTTAATAACGTTACAAAATTTGTTAATTGTTATAGTGAAGTTGTAAAAATTTTCAAGAAAATTGTTTTCGACCGCCGGAGCTCCAGCATCCAATTATTGAATTTTTCCCAAAACCTGTTATTAACCGCTATACTGAAGTTGTTAATAGTATTACAAAAGTTGTTAACTGTTACACTAAAGTTGTAAAAATTTTCAAAAAAAATTATTTCTGGACACCAGAGCTTGTTGAATTTCCCAAAAAACTTATTGTTAACTGCTATACTAAAGTTGTTAATAGCATTACAAAAGTTGTTAACCGTTATATTGAAGTTGTTAAAATTTTCAAGAAAATTGTTTCCAACCGCCAAAACTCTGGCGTCCAATTATTGAATTTCCCAAAAAACCTATTGTTAACCGCTATACTGAAGTTGTTAATAATGTTACAAAAGTTGTTAACTGTTATACTGAAGTTGTAAAAATTTTCAAAAAATTTATTTTCAGCTGCCAAAACTTGTTGAATTTTTCATAAAACATATTTTTAACTGTTATACTGAAGTTGTTAATAGCGTCACAAAAGTTGTTAATCGTTATACCAAAGTTATAAAAATTTTCAAAAAAATTTTTATGACTGATGGAGCTCCGGCAACCAATTGTCAACCGATGAACAGAGCTCCGGTGACTGCCATTGCCGGAGCTCTGGGGACC